GAGGAATGGGGGGGAAGGGTCTCAGCCCGGTGGCCTGGGCCAGCGTGGCCTGGGGCTGAGTTGGCAGTAGAGGTGGGTGGGGTGACGGGGGCTCCTCGCCCACCCCTCCCTGACAGCCTGTGGTCACGCAGCTCAGGGACAGCTCTTCCCTGCTTTTCCCCAGCTCCCCAGGACCTCTCAGAAGGCAGCGAACTGTCTCCTGTCCGTCAGCGTCACAGCAGGTGGAGGGGGTTGCAGTGAAGACCCGTCATGTCCAAGGAAGGGGCCCTCCTGAAAGGCCACTGGGGGGCGCTCCCAGTCACCCTCCAGCTCAGCCCCGAGGCACCGCAGGGCCTGACGGACTCTGGGTCAGGTGGCTCCCGTGCCCTGGGGCAGGGAGGCAGCCGCGTGGACCCCACATGGACCATCCAGCAGGGTCCAGGTCTGAACAGGACCAGGAAGCCCTCGGGGCCTGGGTGGGGGAGGGGAGCTTTAGGGCCCCCCGGGGCACCCAGCAGGCTCTCATGACGAAAACCTCCAGAAACCCGAGTGTGTAAGTTTTTCAGCATTGGGGTTCTTTAAAAGTCTCAGGAATCATTTCTGCAAAGACGAACATTTTTATTTGCTCAGACTAACGAGGGTGGGGTCCTGAGGCTCGGGCGATGGCGAGGCCGCCGGAGGGGCTGCCCCAGAGGCTGGAGCAGGGCAGTGCGGAGCCCGCTGCCCGCAGGGAAGGTCGCAGGCTCGGGGTGGGCTGGGCTTGGTTCCCGGGGACAGTCTGGAAAGGTCCCGGAACCTCCGGATTGTGTTATCTTGTCAGTCTTGGGGTGAGGCCCCGGGGTCCCCGCGGTCCCCGTGCGTCCCGCTGGGTGCTGGGCGGCGCCTACTGGAGGAAGGCCCGCAGGAAGTCGTTGTAGGAGACCCTCGAGGAGAGGGTCTTGTCGTAGTACTCGAGGATGTGGAAGAACTCCTCCTCCGACAGGTTGATGCTGTACTGCCTCAGGACCTGCGGGCGGGACGGAGCGGCTGCCGGCAGGGGCCAGGCCCCCGCCTCACCTGGGGCCTGAGCACCTCGCCCCAGTGCCTCCCAGCAGCCCTCCCTCCCTGTCTGTCTGTCTGTCTCTCTCACACACACTCTCCTCCCCGCCCCTCTCCCAAGGCCGCCTTGAGGAAGGAGGGAAGCCACGTGCTGAGATGGCGAAGCAGGAACAGTGACGCCCAGCCACTGTCCAGCCACCACCAGCTCCGGACTTCTTTTCAGAGAGAAGTGAGCTCCCACCAGGTTTAAACTATTGCTACTTTGACCCCCTGTTGTAAGCAGCTGAAACAAATCCTGATAGGACCCTGGTGCATAAGAATAAAGATTACACACATAACAGAGGAGGTCCCACACCCTCCGCTGTCACCCACCCCAAATCCCTGGGCAGCTGAGTGGCAACAGCTGGGACCTCACGTTAGCCCCTCAATGCTTCTGCTCTGTTCTGTGACCTGCGAGGCAGACACAGGCCCTGGGTTCCCCCTAGAGGCCAAGGAAGGCCCGCCGTGGGGCCTAGGGGCAGCTGGGCTCCGGTGTGGGCAGTGAGGAGTGTCCCCAGGGGGGCTGGAAGCCTTCAGGGAGGAGAACCTGGGGTCTGCAGGTGAGGGGCGTGCACTACACCCCGATACCCTGGGGGTCCTGAGGAAGTGGGGCCAGGACAGCTGCTCACACGAGGGCCTTCGGTGGGGACTGGGTCCCCTTCTGAGGCTCCCTGCCCTGGCATCGGGCACCTGCCTCCGTTCAGGGGCGGCAGCCGTGCCAGGGGGCTCACCTTCCGGAAATCAGCCACGTCCACGAGCCCGGTGCTGCCCTCGTCGTAGGACTTGAAGGTGCGGCGCATGGGCCGCCAGCAGTGCAGGATCTTGGGCTGGATGCGCAGCAGCGCCCAGTATAAGGAGGCTGTCTCCGCACCGGCTTCTTCCTGGGGAAAGAAAACCGCCAGGAGGGTGAGAAAGGGGCGTCTGAGGGGGAGGGTGCCGTGGACGGGCTGTGGCCGCTCCGGCCTCGGTCCCCCGGCCCCTCCCCTTCCCCCGCCTGTGCCCCACCGGCTGGCTCCCCGTCTAGAACGGGGCAGAACTCATAATAGCGGCCCACTCGCCATCCCTGCTGTTCGCGACACGTCTGTCATTTCCGCCTCCCGTCCTCTCCTCCGCCAGCCTGGGAGGGAGGGAGGTCTCCTCATGCCCATTTCAAGGACTGGGAGGTGGAGGCTCAGAGGGGCAAGGAGGGGGGATCAGGACTGACCCGGCCCCTTTGCCTCCAGCAGCGGTCAGGCCACAGCCCTGCCCGGGAACTGCTCCCAGGGCGCTGGAGAGAGGGCCCCCCGGTACCCGGCGACTCCAGAATGGCGTGGGGAGGGAGGTTTAGTTTGGGTGTCCTAGTAGGTTACTGTGATGAACAGTTTTTTAAAAATCGCAAGGTTGTAATTATACCTAGTAATTAGACAGCACGCGCGCGACACTGTGATTATTTCATTTAGGGCCGTTAGATGGAACAGGGCCGACTAGCAGGCTCAGCCCGGGCGGCTGGGTGTCAGAGGTGAGCCGCGCTGCAGGCAACACTGTCACACGCTCGGGGAAGGTTTTGTTTCAACACCTGCTCTACGCAAAGCAAATGAGCACCAGGCTAAACTGCTTTCACGTTACATCATTTAGCACCTGGGATGGACACTCGGCAGGTACCCAGGTGGCAGATCCGTGTGCCCGCCNATTTCATTTAGGGCCGTTAGATGGAACAGGGCCGACTAGCAGGCTCAGCCCGGGCGGCTGGGTGTCAGAGGTGAGCCGCGCTGCAGGCAACACTGTCACACGCTCGGGGAAGGTTTTGTTTCAACACCTGCTCTACGCAAAGCAAATGAGCACCAGGCTAAACTGCTTTCACGTTACATCATTTAGCACCTGGGATGGACACTCGGCAGGTACCCAGGCGGCAGATCCGTGTGCCCGCTGGCTCTCCCGCACCCAGCCTGGCCTGAGAGAGGGTTTTCCCCACCCAACCCGAGGGACCCCCGCCCCCACCCCCCGAGAAAGCAGCTCCCCAGCCGCCCCCATAAGGGCGGCTCCACTGGGAAGGCTGCAGAGAAAGCCCCCAGAGAGCCAGACAGAGAAATGGCCCTTTTAGCTTCTCTAAAAGCAGGGGGACAGCTGGCCAGAGCTGCAGACCTGTGCAGAGGGATGGGCCTGGGACCAGGACCAGGCAGGGGCGGGGGCTCTCTCCTGCAGAACAGACGTGGCACCACCTGTCAGTCATGCCAGGCAGGGGTGGCGATGGGTGGCAGGACTATCCTGAACCTCAGGGTGTGGGCTGTAGACAGGTTTGGGGGAAAAGCGCTGGAGGACGGGACAGGAGCGCCCGGGAGGTGGGAGGTGCGCTGGGACCTCTGCTGAGAGGCCCAGGCTCCCAGCTGCTGCACCTGAGCGCCTGTCGCATCCGGTAAACACAACCTTAGTCTGACCCCG